CCGTCTGAGACATCTTATACTTAAGGTGACTATGTTTTTCAAACACCAGGGTACATGATCCAACAAACTTGGTGTGAGTCTACTTTTATGACATAAAAACACATGTGTATGGATCATATCATACACAACTCAAATTAGAATAAAGCAACGAATCAGGGCTGCTTCGGAAAATCTTGAGGTCTAAAACAAGCCCTCCCCTCCCTTTTCAGGGGCCAGACTTGGCTTGAACTCCTTTAGGGATGATAGTTAATCCTCCCCTCGGCTCCTGCACGCCTCGTCCTCCTTCCCTCTGATCCCTCCATACCATCGTCATCCTGAGCCTCTTCCCCATCATCTCCCGTTTCTTCTGCAGGGGGACTCCCCGGGGGCTGGTAGCCCAAAGCTGCCACTACAGCCGCCATGGGGGGATGAATACCTCACCCCTCAGTACAGGTAAGTATTCACTTTCTTACTCTCCAATCCAGTGGGCCACACACACACTCCCCCAAGACGCCTGGTATCTCCACAGGCAACCCAGAATGGAAGCAGGGGGAACAGGAATCGGAGACTAGGTGAGGTCTGAACCACCCCTAACAGCCCTCAGCGCCTGCCTCTGACTCTTACTAGCCTTCCTCTCAGCGCCGCTTCCTCCTGAATCCTCCATGCGAACTGGATACCAGCTGCTCGCAGGCATCCTTTTATCCCGCATCTCACAAGCCTTCTCCCTATGGGCTGAACGCCGGTGCTCCTTTCCCTTTGTCCTTCTCCAGGGTTATGTGTGGACATGGCGTTGTCAAGGCTTATAGTCATCAGGTGTGGCACCAAGACCTCCAAGCATCTACTAAGGTCCCACTTGAGCACCTCGCTAACACACTCATCTCCCCGCCCGCCAGGTCTGCCAGTGAGGATGAGGTCTTGTTACTGGATGGGTCCGAGGAGGGACCCGCACACCCCGCTCCTCCCAGGGCCCAGGCTCCAACTGCCCAGTCCGGGACAGTGGGTGGGGACATAATCAACGCCAGGTTCATTCGAAACCTGCAGGAACGGCGCAGCACAAGGCCTTGGTGACCACAGCCCCCTCACTACGAGGCACAGCCAAAGCCCAGCACACGCGATGCTTGCGTGCATGCATTCATTCAGCAGGCCTGCCACCATCAAGCCGCTTGTATCTTTTTTTTTTTTTTTTTTTTTTTTTGTCTTTTTGAGACGGTCTCCCCAGCTGTCTGGATTCACCATGGAGACCAGGCTGGCCTCAAACTCAGAGATCCCCGGCCTCTGCCTCCCAGTGCTGGGATTAAAGGCGTTCGCCACCACGCCCGGCTGTATCTTATTTTTAACTGGAGCAATAAAACTATTTATCACTACATCCGCGGAGCTGGTGACCGTCGTTACTTCAGCCAGTCCACCCCGTCCTGCGCCGGCCCCACTGGGGTAGCGGCGACTGCGGACTGTAGCGCAGGCGCGCTGAGCCTGGGCGCAGGCGCACTCGGGAGCGGTACCGCGGAGGCCGGCCGAAGTACGCAGGCGCGCGGCGTCTCCGTTTCCCTCCCTCGGCCCCAGCCCCCTCCCTCTTTTCCCCTTCGCGAAGCCGGCTCCGGGGCGCGCTGCCCGGAGACGAGGCCAGACGCGGGAGGCGCCGTCTCTCCCTGAGACCATGTACCGCCCGAGCCGGGGGGCGGTCCGGCGCCTGGGACCTTGTCTCCGCGCCTACCAGGCCCGACCCCAGGTGAGGCGGCGGCCGGCGGGGCGGGCGGAGACCCTCGGCGGGGGCGGGGCGCAAGCTGCGCAGGCGCAGACCCTCCCGCCGCCCCTTCCCACCCCGGCGCTGCGCGAGGAGGGGAGCCGGCGGGCGCGTAAAGGGGCCGGGAGGGCCGGGCATGTCGCGAGCCGCCGTTACCTGTGCCTGGAGGTGATTTGAAGGGCAGGCGGAGGCGCGCCGGAACTGCGGGCGGGGCGTGCACCTGCGGCGCGGCCGGATGCCCGGGAAGCGGGTCGGCTCCGGAGTGCGGTCGGCCGGCGGTCACGCCCCCGGCGGAGAGCGGCCTGCACCCGGGACGCTGCCCTCACGGCCCGGCCTGCCCCGGGGTGACCTGTGGTCCGGGCATCCCGTACGGGTTGTTCAATGGGATTCCAAGTCTTCGTTCGTGTATGAAGTTGTGTTTACACTCATCGCCCTGTATGAGCCCTCCCAGTAACCCGGCGAGGCCGCCTTGTCCTCCAGCTAGAGGAAACTGAGGCACGGGGAAAGACTCCCGAAGGCTACAAAATAGAGTTGAAATTCAAATCCATACCTTCACCTGGATGGAGTCATGGAGACATGCGATAGACCACATCGTTTAAGCCACGTACAATAAAAACTGTTCATTCGTTCACATTTTTTTACGGGGGGGGGGCTTTTTTTGAGACAGGGTCTCCCTGTAGCCCCAGCGGGCCTGGAACTCAGAGAGATCCAGTTGCTTCTTCCTTCAGGTGCTGGGATCAAAGGCGTGCACCACCACACCCGGCTCCAAATATGTTCTTAGCCATTCATGGTAGCAGAGAGGTGAAACTGGACCCCAGTACTGTGTGATACTTAAATGTCAAGGTGCTTTGTCCTTTGCCACTCAGTAGAGATAGTGATGAGTCCATCCCTCTTCTCTAATTCTGCCAGAGTAGGTAGGTTGGAACCGGCTTATAAGCCCAGCTTGGAGCAGGAGGGTGAATTTTTTGGCTTTTGAGGTAGGGTCTGACTATGTAGCCCTGGAACTCATGGGCAATCCTGCTCCTCCTAGGATTACAGGCATGTGCCACCCGGCTTAGTTTAGACGTCTGAAATCTTCCCTCTGTTTCCTTAGGACCAGCTTTCTCCGAAGACTCTGCCATTCCCACTCCTCTGGCCTCACTCCACTCCACCCACTTCCCCATCTTTCCCTCTTCTCTGGTCACCCCCACCCCCACCCCCACGGCC